ATATAAAGAGAGAGAGAGAGAGGGAGAGAGAGAGAGAGATTGAGAGATAGATAGGTAGATAGATAGATAGATAGATAGCTAGATAGATAGGTAGAGTGATAGAACCTGGCACTACACTACGCTACACTGCACCACAACGGATACAGTTATATACATGAACATAGACTCACACACACACACACGCACACGAACCTGAACACACGACACACAAAGAGAGAGGCACATGCATGCACACATGCATACCCACACACGTCCGCATGTGCACACATGCATTCATGTACGCAACCGGCGCATACATGAATGCAAAATAATGCAAACACACATAAATGCATGCACGCGCACATACATGCGATACGGCACAGAGCCGGAGCACCTGTACCAACATCAACACAGGCAGTCGACACCAGGCAAAGAGTCCAGCAATCCAGCATGATTCAATCAGGATGTGTCGAGAAATGGACAGCAAACAGTCCTTCTCTCGTGCACTTTGTGCAGTGCTGCAAGGTGCATACGACAAGAGCCGGCTTGTCGAGCAATGCTGCTTTTGCTTCATCCCCACAGTCCATCGGCCCGAAACCGAACCGATCTTGGTGGAGGGGATCGTGGGGGTCCGAGAAGAAGAAGCTACAAGTATGCGGGAAAAGGCTTAGTGACGTAGTGTTGAGGGGTCGTCGAGCCCCCCTATGCCATATAGGACAAACACAGGGCAGACGACTGTTGCCTCGATGAGAGACTTGTAGTGAGCAGCCGGACGCTTCACAGTTTGAGCAGCATTGTTGATGAGGATATCAAGCTTCGGAAAAGTCTCGGCAAGATGCTTTCCCAGTTGCGCGACCGTCGGCACATTCCGAAAGTCCGCCCCATAGACCCAAAGTCGTGGCAGCCAGGAGTTAGAGTCTTTCTCTTGGCTGTATCGTCTCAGGCAGTCCCTGGGAAACCGAGTGGTCACTGCTACCTCGCAGCCCATGCGGAGCAGCTTCAGGGCAGTCGCATAACCAATGTTCACCCGGCCCCCGGTCACGATCGCCGTCTTTCCTGTGAGGTCGGTTTCTTGCGCCAGCTTCTGGCGGCTCAGAGCCTCGCAGGCACCACAGAGCCGGGGCCGTTCTGCCAGGGTCGCCGAGGGATCGATGCGCTCTCGGCACATGTAGCAGCGGGGTAAGAACTCGTTCCCGCGGCGACTCTCCCAAAGGTCCACGTTCTTCCAACGAAGGCCCGGGAGCCCGTCCTTCTCCATGCTTACATTCAGAAGGGCTTCGATAGAGGTTTCCGAGGCGGACTCATCACCTGAAATGTAGCGGTACTTCCCGGCCACCAAATCACTGTCCGGTTGATTCCAGAGCCCCTTGGACTGGAAGTCGATGCTTTGCCGAATCGACTTCCTCCGATCCTCGTGCATCTCCATGTACTGGTCCAAGTGCATCCCTAGAAGCATGCGCTGCACAAAAGGTAGCTCCACCTCACCGTACCCAAGATCCTGGCTGGCGGAAATGAAGCCGTTCAAGGCTGCAATGCGCCGAGCAGTTTCCTCGTCCAAGGTACTCGGCAGATCGCAGCGAGGGTGATGCTTGCAGATCTCGAAGAAGACCGTCCCAAAGCCCCGGCTCTTGTACTTTAGAATCCGTGGTCCGGTCGACCATCTGCGCAGTTTCGCTGGCTCCACGAAGTTGTATCCTGTCCTCGGTCGCAATATGGCCAACATGGCCTCTTGCGATAAATCTTCAAGCAGGCACGTGGTTAGTTAAGAAATTCGATCCCAGCACTGCCGGTACAGTAGTGCATGGAAACATGATAAAGGACTCACAGCAGCTGATTCACTCCGTGTCTTGATCGTACACTGCTGCTGCTGTTGCTTCTGCCGTTGTGCTGCATTGGACCCCACAACGCTTCTCGACAAAGCTATGGGCGAGCCGTTCTCCCCCAACTGAGCTCCCGTCTGCAGAGAACGAATTGTCCTTGGTAAGGTAAGAATGTTCTGACCATCGAAGCCCATGCTGATGCAGTCCAGGTCGAAGAAATTCAGAACCTCGTCCATGCGCTTGTAGAGAATGACCATAACCTGCACAGTTCGAAACGGCCATCCTCCCCAAATGCTCAGGGCATTGGCCGATCGGAGCAGGCGGATGTCCCGAGAGTAGCCTGAGCTGTTGACTCCGAGTTGGTAATCAGGCCGGTGTCGTCGCTTCGCTCTCTTCTCCACGTGCTTCCTGCGCATCTCCGTGATGTTCTTGCAGATGGTATGAACCGTCTGTCTGAGCAACTGCTTGCCTTCGTCCTCCGTCTCGCAACAGATAAAAACGTCAATATCGGAGGATGCAAACCCCCACGATTCCTTGTTGCCCGTAGCTCCGCCTGGCAGCCACAGCTGATCTGCTGGCGCGCTGGCCACATCTATGGCATTTTCGTCTGCTGCCAAGAACTCCATTATGTTCTGCAGGACCTGAGGCGACTGGCCAATTCGCAGCCTCTTGAGCAGCAAGAAGCAAGCCACCTCAGTAGCCACGATTTTGTACAAGGGCTGCAACTTCGGGTGCTGCCAAAGCTGTGCACAAGCGAGCACGGCGCCGCCGGCAACGAAGAGCTTCTGCCCGGGTGTTTGTGGAAGGTCGAAGACACCTCGCAAGATACCTTTCGTAAACAAGTCGAAGACCAGCTTGAAGCCACGGAGGTTCGGCATCAAAGAGGAGCTGCCTGGCTCAGCGGGCATCCGCAAGGTGGCCTTAGGTGTATTGTCATGCAGTGGCTCGACTCGAGGATGCGACTGCTCCGTGCAGGAGAGGCTTCTCTCCGTGAGAAGCGACGTGCGGAGCATCCCATCTTCGGCCCCGTAGATGGGAACCAGATTGGTCGGTGGAATGTGACCGCTCATGAACGCCGATCGGATGGACCAATCTTGACGCAGGAGAGAGGTGTGGAGGACGTCATCTGTCAAGAGATGGAACCAGGCCTCGTGGCGAGCCTGCTCCTTCGCCAGACTTAGATTGTGAATAGGCAAATGCGACAGCATCGTGGAGAAGGCATGGGCGCTGACACTTTGGAAATGCTGGTGCAGCTTGTCCCGCAGCAAGCGGCCGTTCTCGCCCAACATGAGGAGCGCTGCCTTGCGAGCCTCAAGGTCCACTCGGGTTGCTTCCTCATCCACGGTGGAACGAGAGGCCAAGGTCTTGAAGCCAGCAGCAGCCTCTAAGACTCCTAGCCGCTTCGGGTTCACCTTCGGAGGGGGACCCGAACCTTCCGCCGTCCGAGCCTCCCAAAGCTCCACATTCAAGGCCCGAAGATCTGCCAGATGCCCTTCAGAAGGCCCCGAGCCGAAGGGAAGGGAGTCGATGGCTTTGCCCAAGCGCTCCGGGCTCGTCCATGACAGCTGCTTCAGGGAGGTGATGCCCCACTTCTCCAACAAGGCCAAGAGCGAGGTGTCTGCCGAAGACCCCAGCCGCGATTTCAAGTCATCAGAGACACCCAGCGCTGCAGCTGGAGCGTCCATGTCGCGCGTGGGCTGTCTATTGCACTGTGTAACCTTTTGCTGTACTGGAACTGTTCATGGGGATTGCCAGACGCCAGTAAATCTCTCGGCGATTGGGAAACCTGTGGTCTGCCACACCGTCCCTACACCAAGCCAAGCGCTCCCGGTGCAGCAGGCGATATCCGTGACCGCCAATCTTTCCACTAGACGTTAGCTGTCGTACTGCGACTGAGCAATGTGACCGCATGCTAACAGGCTGGAAACATAGGTTGGAAAACCCACTCTTGTGCGAACGTCCGATATCTTATTGCCCAAAACCTTGCAAAATCATACGTAGATACAGTGCGAAAAAAGCACCACCGAGACATCACATGAAACCCGGTCTTTTTGAAAATGTGCTTTTGACCCGCTATCGATGCAGCAGCCTCGTCGCTTGCCTTGCCACCGTCAGTGAGGTCCACCCACGTGAAGCGCAGGACAGTTATCGCCAAATCCTTGTCGTCCACATGTTAAATTGGGCATGGTTGGGCTATAGTTATAGAGTTCTTGCTCAGAATTCAAACCAAGGGGTAGGCAGTTTTGCAGATCTGCTGTGGCACACAGCAGGTGGCAACCAGAACAATCCACTGTCTTCTATGTTCAACCAGTAAGAACAGTTCGCCCATGCACAGCAATCAACTCTGCAGAACTCAGCAAGCATCTTCGCCGGGAGAACGGACATGAGTGTATGCCGAAAAATCTTCCAGCGTTCAACTTAGCTCCAGGCATCTGCTTTTGCACCACGCCGCGCGGCCTGAACATCCTGCAACTGGTCCGACACCATCGGCCATGGACGGCAAAGCAACTGCACATTCGAGCGCTCGTCTACACGAACGTGTGCTCTTGGAGCATGGGATGCCGGGCGGCCTGCATCAGCGCCTGCTCCGGAGATTGATGCCTTTCTGAGGCTGCCACAACATCGGCAAAGCCCAAGGCCAATTTCAGTGCCAAGCAGTTTCTGCCAAGCCGGGCTAGACACTACTACGCTAAACCCGCCACAGGGCCCGCGCGCGACAACAGCTGCGAGGGCGGACTTGGCAGCCTTTGGAGCAAATGGTCTGGAACAGTTATCAGCCTGCGCAATGTATAGTACACTTGCCTGCATGCCCATGCACCTGACATGCAGATGCATACGTACCTACGATCACGAGTGCATGCATCCATACACACTGTTGCAGACAAAGGCTGATGTAGGCAAGCAGACACATACATGCTTCCACTGCAGAACGACACCTTCTCTTCGTCTGCAATCGCCCAGAAGGATTCGGATGCCAGTATAATGAGAGCATCGTTTGCCCAGTCCTCGCGCTGCAAAGCACGACAGTAGGAACAGCGTTTACTAGTGTCATGAAACCCATCGAAGCCACCGTAGTTGGTATGCCATTGCCATCACTAGTCTGTCTTCCCAGCACGACTGTGCCGCTTTTTGCTACTGCTGCTATTCCACAGGTCCCCAGTCAGAACCCTAGGCCCTAGGCCATGTACCAACCCGGTAGTCCAGCTGACAGACATCCAGCGTCACTGCCAGGCCAGCAGCCGACCCACCCTAGCGTGCGGTCCCTGCTCCGCTTATGAGCTCTGCTCGCACGAGATGCCGGATCGTTAAGTTGATGATGGTTGGTGCACTCTGGGGTGCTGCTCTGGACTCGCGGTTGCTATGCCGTCTGCTCTTCTGCTCGGAGATTTAGGTCTAGGTTTACAGCATGGGAGCTTGGGTCTCTTCAAGGCCACAGTGGCATCGCAACCAAAACAACACCGGTTGGGAACCAGGAAGGACAGACTTGGATGCTTCGATGTCGATTTTGCTGAGATTGGAGTGGAGACCAGCCGCTCCGGCCTTTTCGCTGTAGGCATGGGTGCCGAAGCCTTTAGGCGCAGGCCTCGCCACGTCACAGGTCTCGGGTCTGAGGTCTCCCGATCAAACTCTGCTGCAACCCATTTAGGGCTTTTTGGGGATCTAAGATCCCCGCCCACGTGCCCCTGGCATGGAGGGGAAGTTGATGGACGGACCTTGGATGCCATTCGCGGCTCAAAGGATCAACACAGCCAAAAAGACGGTGTCTGTCCCCTAAGCCCCCTTTAATCCTAAACCCTAAGCCCCAAGCCCTAAGCCTAAACCGTGAGTCCAGGCGACTCGAAAGCCCTGGACAAAAAGCAGCAAAGCACCCCCAGCCTTTCAGGCCGTGCTCGAAGACCTTCAAGCTGTCCTGGATCGCTCGAGGCTTCTTTACCGGATCAGCCGTGAGGCTGCAGTGTCTCTTGTCAAAGGCAGGGAGTACCCCTAAACCTACGAGGCCCTACAAGCCGGAAACTAAACTTTAAAGGAGCTTCTCTGCCGTGCATTGGAGCTTCGTGGGCTCCTGTGCAGGCTTCTCCTCGCCGCTAGGCCCGGCAGCACCTTGGACGACACAAGACTTGAAGCGGCCCGGAAGCACCCACGAGATTTCCACTAATTGGGCTTGACACTTCTGTGATTCTGTGGGTGTTGCAGCAGCAGGAGCGAAGATTGAACTGCTCACGAATAGCAGGCCTTGGGAACATTTCTCTCGCCTGCAAGACCAGCACTCAGTGCTAACCGATCGAAGAGTATGTGCTGAGGCACGTAAGCTGAGCTGTAGCAAGCCTCGCAATCGGAGATTGGATGACATTACCCACGGACAAGCATCATGTCCTCTCCGAGGATGCGGCCTAGACGTGAAGTGATTTGGCCGTCCTCGGTGGACTCAAATACACCCACTTTGGCTAAGAGGGCATGGCTAGCTGGTTTGTCAGATGGTTCGAGGCGCTTACTTTTGCCTCGTGGAGTTCCTAGCTCCCAGCGAACAAAGCTCGAAGCCGCAGCCTCCCAGGAACCCCCTGAAGGGGCCCTGAAGGGCCTAAAACCCTCTCATGGCCCAGACTCAACTGCCCGTAGCGGCCTGGTGCATCGAAAACCGCTGGGCCGCCGGGCCCGAGCCACGACCAAGCCCCGGCCGCCGGCCCCTGCGTCGCCGAGCACCGCTGCAGCCCTGGTGGCGACAGCGAAGAACTGTGCCAGGATCAAGACTGGTTCTCACAGCCGTTATCAGATGTGAACGATTCAAAAGATTCGTGGTCAAACACTACCTTGAAAAAATCGGAACGAACAAACTGACAATGGTAGTAGCAACAAGAAAATGAGCGAAAGAAGCCGTCGGACGCTAGCACGGATTCAAGGACCTCCTCACGGAGTCACTAGACAAGGAAGATAGCTGACAGGTGGCCTGGCTGACCAAAAATTGGACGAAAACAATTGGCTACTTGACGTCTATAGGGCTTAAGGGAATCCTAGAAACCGTCGAGACTCTGCGACACACTAGGCCCCACTAAGATCCAGTCTTCTCAAGACGCTCAGACAAGGACTTCCAAAAAGACTGGATAAACACAGCAGGCCCATCCCTTAGCTCCCAGCATGCTGTTCTTGTCGGGGCCGAATACCAACACGCAGCAGGCCTTAATCCGAGAGAAAGCAAAGGGCCAAGCAACTCAGAAGGCGCAACAAGTCACAATTGTTACCATCAACACAACCTGAGCCAGACGAAGGACCGGTGATGTTAGATTGCTGGTAGCAGCAGCCAGACGAGCAGGGCTACATGGCATGCTATGGTGTGCTATACTGAATACTCCAGCTCTGCTAAGCGCCGGGCACTCGTTTCTGCTGACAGCCACAGCTTCGCGGAATTGTCGCTCAATCTTTGGGCCTGCGTTCTCTGAGGCAGGCTCTCATCCGGGCCCGAAAGGCTGCAGGATTCCTATGTCTGTGCATGATGCCAAGGTCCAAGGGCAGCACATACTGCAGGAAGCCGTGCTGGGTCCTCTGGAACCCTGCAAGCATAGCCGCCTCGAGCGGAGAGGGAACAAGACGTGAACAGTGCATGATCAAGATTGCTATGGCGCTATGTTATACATCGCACTGATACCATCATGCAACCATCCACCCAGACTTGTTGTTGAGTTCTGACGCAACAGCCAACTTCTAAAGACGTGCATGCAGCATCTGCTCGTGAAGAGCATTCTCGGTTCGGGTCTTCGCATTTCTATGCGGTGCTCCTACATCTACAACGATTGCACAAGAGCCGTAGTCGCAAACATGGCGATGATGATGATGATGATGGTGGTGGTGGTGGTGATTGGTATCACCACTACTTCTTTCAGGATAACTGTTACGAGCTTTGTGATGATGATGGCGATGGCGATCATGATCGTGGTAAAGGTGATGGTGATGATGATTGTGATTTGTTCATTTACTATTCGTGCTGCTATTTTAGCCAGTGTTACTGTCTTCTTCTTTCGGTTTTAATAACCAATATTATTGTCATGTTTAAATATTAGTATGTACATTGGTAGTTGTGATCATGTTTAGACCAGTATGGTGATGACGGGGATGACATGATCGTGATGATGATGGTGATGATGAATGATGATGATGATGATGATGATGATGATTTAGTAGTATGAGTCTTCATAAGATTGCTACTTTTGCGCTTAAGGCTATTGGTAGTAGTATTGTGAACATGACGATGATTATGCTATTCTTGATTGTTGCGATAATTATCTACACACATGAACCTAGTGTGTGGCTCTTGGGCGGCTATTTGCTGAACCTCAAGACACACTGGCGGGATCGCGCTCACGATCTTACTACAAAGGACTGGGACTCTAGTTGTGAATTCCGGTCATCATTGACGTAAAGTTGAGCAGACTTCATAATCCACATGATTGAACTGTATACTGATCTGCTGCTCACTTCGCAGAGACCCTAAACCCCAAACCCTAAACCCTGAACTCTAACCGTAACCCCTAAACCCTGAACCCTAACCCCTAAACGAAACACGTCGCCAGACCTTTGCTCCACGTCGACCGCCCTGTTCTCGGCCTTGGAAGCTCGTGCCGAGGTCCTGCATCTTGTGTGGCTTAAAGGTTTGCTGTACCGAATTAAGTCCAATACAACATATGATGTAAAATATGTCTATACGTGTATATATATATATGCTATATATAGATGCATACCCGTTCTATACATAAATATTATACAACATGATTATATTTTAGACCATGATTAATATTTCGAAAGCATTAAATCTGACGAGCTTTATGAATATTGTCTGTCTGGTGGGCGCATTTCCAGTGAACTGCCAGGGTGTGAGGCATTTGCGGCTTTCGGGATCGGGGAGTTAGGGATGCAGCATTCTTGGATTTCGGATTCCAAGTTTCGAGGTTCTGGATCTCTGATGGAGCCGCAACTCACAGGAACTGTGTTTGGAGAAGCCAGACAAAGAGGCATACGTCCTACATGAACGAAAGAGTTTCCAACACGCGCCCCGAAACTTCAGACATCCCCAAGTTTGTATGGGCACCTGGAACAGTGTCAATGCCCCTTTGGCCTTTTTTTTGAGGGTTCAAAAAGCCCCGCGCGGTTGCGGCTTTGCTTGAATTTGCCAGAAGACAGGCAGGGCTTTGGTCGGAGCGAATTCGCATTGGCCTTCGGGATGTGATCTTGGCACTGGCTCGAAGGCATCGTGCTTCTTGAAGGTGTTCAGGGCGCCGAACATCCACACCCTACTCACTGGACGAAATTTTAAGACATGCCGTCCTTCTAAAACGTCTTCATTCACCATGCCCGCTTTCATGATTCTACAAACCGACTCTTTCTACTGCTGGATTGACCCCATGGAGACCGCGTATATCCCTCGCACCCCGGCTCAAAGAACTGACATTTGAACAGGGCAACGCTTCATGCGCAGGTTGCCTTGGCCAAGTTCAAAGCCACGAACTCTGCACCTGTGAAAGGGTCGGCTGTTCTCACATGGCACTCCCGCCTCATGGCCTTAGCGGCACTGACTGCACCTATAGGAACCATACCTCAGCTCAGCCAAGCCTCCGGAGTCACTCCTGTTGTCAACCGCAGAAGATTCTCTAAAAGCAACGACGGGGATCTGTAAATCTGCACATTTTGCCTTAGGAGACCCAAAGGGTTTAGGATGACTCCAGAGAGGGTGCATAGGAAGATTTTCGTGTCTGTTGGCTGGTCGCACCAAGTCATGTGCTTGGCACTCGCTATGCAGAAAATGGCAGGCCCGGCGCACGGCTGTTGCCAAGTGGCGGGCTTGTCTGAACTCGCCGGTGCTTTGCACTCCATGCCAAGGCACCGGCCGACACAAAACTGGCTCGAGCGATCGAATTAGCATAATTTGTTTTTCGAGGGACTGCCTCCTGGAAAGTTCACACGGAGGTCTCAGTGGCTGCAGTGGTGGCCTCGGACTCCGTGTGAGACTCGTAGTCGCCGCTGGTCTTGCCCTGCAAAGCTCAGACTTCCAGCCACTGAATCACTGCCCACTCAACCCTGACAGCCCACCTACCGTTGCCCTAACGGCTTGCCGAATGACAATCGTGCAGAACCTCCACACACCCCAAACCCACCACTACGAAGTATGTTGCGAGCCAATCTTCAACTCGACAGAGAACCGAAGGATCCGCTTTGGTCTTGAGGCCCTTGGACCCTTGGCCTTCTCGACGCTCTGTGCCGGTCCATGGAACATTCCACCCATCTCGGACCAGTAGTAGCAGGGGCTCAGCAATGCCCAAAACATGACATAGCCCGCATGGACCTGTTCAACGAAGGCCCAGCTTAAGCGCACTGAGTAACGATTCATAAGAGTCTGGGTTGAACAGTGTCCGCGAACAGAAGAGGGGCATGGCGCTTGTGCATGGGTCCAACATCCACCGGCAACCCTGGAGCACCCCTGAACCCCAAGACGAACATCAGCCTTGAACTTCGACCCTGCCTGGAAAGGCAGCAGGGCATCCTGGATCGGCTTGTAGAAGCAGAAGCCTGCAATCCTGGGCTCCAGATCTATATGTGTGATCATCCTGATCTGTATACTTTGGGGAGACGCGATTCTACATGGCAGGCTTGGGCAATCAATCTTCTTGAAAGATAGAGAAGGCCTCATCTGGGACGATAGCGACATGATCAATCTCTCGGAATCAGCCGCCTCATCAGAAGGCCCCCAGTCCGTTCCCTTACAAGAATGCATGCTGCCAAGTATCACTGCCCCGAGGTTGCCACCCGCACCCACAAGTGCGGATACCACTGCGAGCTGCTTCCTGATGTGTGCATGTCGCCACCTCCTACAAAGAACTACTTCTACGAAGATGAGTTGTTGCCAAACCCTGAACCCTAAACCATGACCGCAGGTAGCAACTACAATCGTCCACTGATCCAAGCTTCCTGTTCATGAAGGGCACGATGCCGTAGGAGGTGCCCTCAGAGGCTAGTCGGGAAGGCTTATCCCATGACAAATATGCTTTGTTGCATTTTCTTATCCTATCCTACCATACACAATATATATATATATTGTGTATTGCCGTATATTATATTGTATCATCTTATAGTTTATAACAGCATACTTGACGGTTTGCTGAGTGGGGCCCGCCTCAGCCATCTGCACGAAGAGCGAGAAGCAAACCAAAACTGCCAAAGCCACGTACCAAGGCTGCGAATTGTCCACCTGAGCCACCACCACCACCACCAACATCACCACCACCACCATTATCATCATCATCATCATCACGATCTGCTTGCTGGCAGGAAAAGCACCCAAGTTTTGTCTTGGGCCAGGCCTTTCCGAAGCTGAACAGGAAGATAGCTTCGAAGAAGAGTGCCAGGAACTGAGCCCAAATGCCTTGCCCCGTCGAAAAGACCGCAGCTTCCGCTTCTGCGCTCAACAAGCACCGAGCCCTAACATGTGACCAAGCGAGTCCGAGATGCGGCCACGGAAGCCGAAGTACTTGAAGCAAATATCGCTGCTGATGCCTCCAAAGCAACAGCACTAGCTTAAGAGTCGCACATGACTTGAGATCACCACACAGCCTCCAAGCGATCTTGCGAAGAGGTTCATCAAGCCGAAAGCACCCGCTAGGGCGCTGGCATCACCTGTCGCCCAGTCGACATTCGAGTTTTATGTCTATGCGCTCGAGGATCGGTAACGAAGTTTTCTCATCTGATGCCAAATTACTGTCCCAAACAGCACGCACCTGCATCCATCTGGAAGTACGTCCGAAAATGCGTAGCCAACTGATTGTTCATTGCGAGTTCCTCACACAGGGCAAAATTCACAACGACAAGGAGCCAACGTGTCATCCCATTAAACCAGTAGGCCTTAAGCTCGAACGACTTTGCGAGCTACGCACACGCCCACACACAACCACTCCTAACCGCACAATTGCAGGCTAGAAAAAAGGTGTGAAATCTTGTAGTCCTGACGCCTACACAGCTACAACTGCTGCGCAAATCAAGTATGCTCGGAAACCTTAAAGTGAGCAGACGGGGATCGGTGCCGAAACATGCGGAATATTGGAAGATCATGACCACGACTCGAACATCGCGCAGCACCTCGACATAGTCCCACATCGACGGCTTCTGTGTCTTGCCGGTCACAGTCGGATCGTAGTTGCGTGCCGTAGGCATATCCCAGCACCTTGGCTAAGTCCAGAGAACGGATGGTTTTGTTCAGCCAAGTTTATCGAACAACTTCGGCTCAAGCCAAGCAAACCATATCTTAAACATCAGCCAGGAGTCATGAGCTTCATGCAGATGGCGCAAAGCACGAACATGACCGCTGGCACCACCATGGAGACACGCCAAGCCACATTCGGCTCCATCCCGGAGGCCACCATAGGGTTGAAAAGTACTGACATCATAAAAATCCTCAGCCACTTCTGAATACTGGCAGTTCTCTACACTAGGGTCCCTTTTTCGGCCCCCAAAAAAGTACGCCACCCTGACAAGAAGGACCTACAAGGGACATAATGTAGAAAACTACCTATATGCTAAGTATCACGACCCATGTTCGCATTCAAGAACAATGTGCAAAACGGTTTGTGAAGGGCGTGCAAGCTGCTGGGTCACGCCGCCTCCCAGGTTGCCCCAACCGGCCGCAGTGGCGTTGGCGGTACCAACAACCTGCAATTGCTAAAGACCGATTTATACGCTCTTTGAGCCTGAAACATTCAAAAGAAGGAAAACTTTCCATGAAACAAGCTCTGGCAACGTTCGGGGCAAACATCAGCGAGCACCAGAACTGATTGGTCACGAAAGTGGCGCCAGCGCAGCCTACCGGGACAAGGAAGGCAGGCGCAGGAAGGGGAAGGCAGGACAATCACTGAGGGTGAAGTCATCCATGTCGAAGGATGAAAATAGACCACCAATACTGCTAGTCCTGACCACGATTCTCCGACATCCCCCAGCCCCCCCCCCCCCTGTTCCCATCCTGTTTTTCGGGGTATACTCGACTCAACTATTACAACAAATAAATAAATAAATAACGCTAATATTGCTCTAATACTACCATAATTTTCAATTTCACATAATATACCGTGGTCACTCCGGCGAGCCTATGAAGAAGCGGATCAGCGTGTAGTTCCAGGGAGCTGTAATCGCGGCCGCCATGGCCACCCAGAAGGCGCCGAAGGACATCAAGCCGCACTGAACGTTCACCTCGAACAATATAGGCAATGGCGGCACTTGAGGGTGCTGACCGCTTTGTATACTAACCGGCAGATCAATTATTAAGTTCTGGAAGGGGGTCTTCTTGCCAAGTCACGGGGCCAAAGCGCTCTAGGAGCGTCCCCAAGGCTATCCTCACGAAGATGGTAGAGGCAACCGAGGCCACGCCCGCGTTCGCAATCACCTCTCTTCTCCAATACACGGGCCCAAACAACTTCAAGCTTTCCAACATAGACCAACTTTAATATATCAGGCCAAAAGCTTATAAAAAGTTCTCCCATTGGCTGAGTAGGTCACCGACTTGCACTCCGTGCCTGGTGTGCACACGCACTTTGCCAGCACCTGGGGCCTGTACTTCTCCTTCTCCTCAGCGCTCACCGCATCTGCGGGGACGTCTTTGCAATCGATCAGCTTGCCGTCCTCCTTGAGGACCCCATACTGGCAATAGCTCAGCCCACTCTTCAAGTTCTTGAACTTCAAGTAAGCTGGTCGTGTTGGGAAGTCTGTGGGAGGGAAGAGCTGGTTCTCGCATGTCCCCATGCTGGTCGCAACTTCGAGGCCCAAAGGCGCCAAGGCGAACCAGCCTTGGCAGCGCGTAACTAGGAGTTCAGATATCACTGTACACGTCGAAACGCGCTTAACTCGAAAGGGACAAGATGGCAGAGTTGTAGTAAATTCTTACGAAGCGGCCCAGGAAGGCAAGGAAGAAAGATATTGTGCTAGCCCAGAAAGCTCGCATGTGAGGATTCTGCTGCACAGTGCCACAGACCCTCAGTAGCGGCAGCTCCGTGGCCTTCTTGCTGGAATCCACTGCCAACTTGTACTCCGCCATGGTTCGACAAAGCGGGATGACACTCTCTGTCCTGGAGGCTATAGCTCGAGCACCACGAACTGTGAGCAGAAGTTCGTCCGTTTCACTGACACAAGCCTCCGGAGTCACTCCTGTTGTCAACCGCAGAAGATTCTTTAAAAGCAACAATGAACAACGGGGATCTATACATCTGCACATTTGCCTTATGAGACCCACACAGTTTCGGATGACTCCAGAGGGTGCATATGAAGATTTTCCGTGTCCGTTTGCTGGTCCGCAGCATCAGCTGGCTAAGTGCCGAGGCCTCCCATGCCATGTCGGCCTGTCACCAGCCCGGCAAAGCAGCCCACCAAGGAATGACCAGATTCTGCCTGATAGGGAGAATGCGAGAAAGGCGAAGCTAAACCCTCTGCCCCAGTGTCGGCTCGGTCAGCGTTGCGCAGGCACGCTGTAGGTACAGTTTATGCATTTGGGCATCAGATCCATCAACACGCTTCTGGACACATTACCGATGTGGCCTTCAAGTTGATGGGTGCTGGCTCCACCTGCCGCGTGCAAGACCTCGGCCGGTACCATGCAATTGAAATCCAGGGAAGTGGGAAGAGCTTCAACTCATCATACTGAGACCGGGTTTCGTGATTTGAAACAGCCTCTTCCGGGTTTGCAACGAGTGGTTTCTCCAAAGTCGTCTCCTGCTGTCTCTGCTAGTGCCCGTGCTTCATGGCTTGATTTCCCTTAAACCCTCAACCTCAATAAACACCCTAACCACTTCCGCTCGACCAGAGACGGGACATGCCAGCAAATCCAGCGCGGCAAAGGCCGTGTAGGTCCAGGCGCTGTTGCCTCAAAGGTTGCAGTCGACTAGGGTCTTCGAGGTCGTAGGGCTCAAGGTTTAGAGCTTAGGCTGTTTATAGGGACCAGGAACCTCGAGACTCAGAATCATTGCCTACTGGTATCGGCAGGTGTCCCGGTTCAATCAAATATGTTAACAGCAAAAGTCGCAAACACAAATACACAGACAAACACACACACACAAGCAAACACATGTGTTTATGTGTGTATATACATACATATATATATATATATATTTATTTATACATGTGTATGTAATATGTGCATTATATATACATATATATATATATATGTGTGTATATATACACATCCATCCATCCATCCATCCATCCATCCATCGATCCATCCATCCATCCATCCATCCATCCATCCATCCATCCGTCCGTCCGTCCATTCATCCATCCATACATACATACATGTTTGCGGGTGTATGTATGTGGGTAGTATACACATATGTCCATGTGTATGTAGGTGTCATTTCCGTCCGACTGTTGAAGGACTTACATGATGCTTCCTTTTCTTCTGCATTGACATGAACCCGAATTGGCCCTACCTCAACCCCAGCCCCTGAACTCAACACCCGAACCCTACACCTAAACCCCACACACCAAGTCCTCATGACCCTAATGGCACACCCCAGGCCCTAATGACAAAGGCCCCCTGCAACCCAAGGCGAACCCGAGACTGAGGGCTGCACGCGCTGACTGCGCTGGGCTTGCCATCCTCGCGGTGCTTTACTTACGACGATTCAGCGCTCATGATCTCACTACTGACATGAAACTTTTAAAAAGGACTTAAGTTAACAATGATCCTGATGTCGATAGTGATTTCGATTACGACGTTTTACTAATGGGTAGTTAGTAGGATTCGCTGTGTAACAACACTGGCAACACTAGTGGGAATTGAATATTTTTCATGACGCATCTAGTGCCAGTTCCAAGCTGCTGCTGGCATCTGACCCACTGCTAGGGGTTCAGGGGTTTAGGGGTTTAGGGGGGTGTAACAACCAGCTGCAAGCCAAGCTGTTTGATACGTGGCGCGGCCAACAAAGCCAACCCTCCGCAGCCTGCATGCCCAGGTCGAACTCCACCTGCCGGACACCAACATTCCAAAGGTAGCTTCGATACCAGGGAACAGGTCTGAAAAAGTTGCCAGGAAGGCACGTCCTGCCCTCCCTCCTCTCTCTGCGCCCCCCCTCACCACTGCATTTGCTGTAGAGTATGAGCACGAGGCTCAGCATCGAGAAACCCGTCAAATCTGCTTGGAACTGCCTCTCGCTGCAAGCCTCTGAACTGTCCTGTGTAGCACCTAGGCAACACCAAATGTCACCAAATCATGCGAGTTGCCGGAGCTCCGGGCACCAGTGGCAGCCGTGGCAAAGCCGCACCTCGCTTCTACAAATATGTGTATACATACATATATATATATGTATATGTATATATATATATAATATACAGATGTATGCAAGAGATATGTATACACAAGATAGATAGAAAGATAGATAGAAAGATAGATAGATCGATAGGTAGCTAGGTAGGTAAGTAAGTAGATAGATGGATAGATGGATAGGTAGGTAGACAGATAGATAGATTGATTGCTTGATTGAGATGATATGACATGACATGACATGACATGACATGACATGACATGATACATAGATAATTACATACATATGATATTACATACATATATGACATATATATGTATGTATATTGTTTACTGGAGCACAGCAGGCTTGCGAAGTGCCCACCCCCGAGTCGCTGTTTCCCGATGTGCGATCGCACCGACCTGTTGAGCTTAGGAGTGACAGTAAGAACAACAACAATAGTAGGTATGCATAATAACAGTCATATCAATGCCGCCCCTGGCTCTTTCAAAGCAAAAGCTGAGGATGAAGGTAGGGCCTGTTCCGAAGGGCAGGGCGGGGGGTGTCTTCTGAACCCTTCGGGTTCCTGTGCAGCTGGTAACACGTCTTCCGTGCAGCTCTAAAACTCAAACTGGCTTCAAGCAGCTGAAGCAATAGAGCTACATTTCTGCAAGGGACACAAGCGTTGCTGTCATGCCCTCTTGCTACGGTTCATGCCGGTAGGATCGACTGCTGCTTGCAGCTGGCACCAGACGCGCTCAAAGCTGCGTTCCACGGCAGCTCTTGACAACCTCAAGTTCAAAACTAGGTTCCACAGACATGTAAGCAAGTAAATTAACACGTAGGTGCGCGTGGCTATAGATATCTTTAGTAGAGTTACACGCGATGATTGCCACACCCTTTCTATCATGCTATAAACTCCCATACACAGGTGTTACAACACAAACCACATTATCAGCTAGCAGCTGGCGGTAGACAAATCATGCTGTGGCTGATGTGTCGCACAACATATTGAGCAACATCGCATTTACTTCGTAATGCAGGTTTGCTACCTACTATACAACATGTGAAGACAGCTTTGCATGTGCCAGTGTGCATACATTTGGTTTCGCAGGACCTGGCAAAAATCACAGCATGGCCTAAAAAGGGATGCCACGGGATCGCATGAAACATCAAGATGATCGTATACGAAACTGTAATCCATCATAACCACGCGTGCGCGTGTGTGTATACATATATATATATATATTTATTTATTTATGTATACGTGTATGAATTCTTCGTCGTGTGTATATACATTTTAATTTACGTTTGCAACTCAACCTTATTCTGTGTTTATACATACATACATACATACATACATACATCCATGCATGCATACATACATACATATATAACATATATACATACACACACATATATATATAATGCATATGTATGTATGTATGTATGTATGTATGTATGTATACATGTTGTACAGGTACGAGCGCGGCACCAAAATCGGATGTCCAATTCCGTGGCAGCTTATCTACGTACGTCAAGAGGAAAAGTGTCATATTGAACAGCAATTTATCTTCTGATGGAATAGCAAGACCATCAATGCAGCAAAGAAGAAATGCGAATCCAGGTGGCAACATCAAGTGCTATATCATAGCTCCCTCATCATTTCTCACACAAAGACCTATTTATATTGTTGCTACTCACGTAATATTTGTTACATGTTTAGGTACTTGCCAGCATACTCAGTGCGTATTGAAGTCGTGCACATGTACTTTAACAACGATATAACTAACATATCTGAATACGAAATCAATACTTGCCTAGCACTTAATGCTTTCAGAATATTTGTATGCTATACCTGTATTAAAATTAGTATGCAACTAGTTCTCGCTTCAACATTTACTTGATACCTAGCTATTGGTCAATACTGAATTAAATAGCTGTGTTGCTATGCCATCTTAACAAATGTATCATGTATTTTGTATTCAGGTAGTGCTGTTGTAATTTTTCTTTCCATATCAATAGCCGGCAAACCATTGTTATATGCTTGAAGTGTGACAACATTACCGTGTATCCATTAAGATTCATCACGGGTAATTGTTCAGGCAACTCAAGTGGAACGCACATTCAAGACCAACCTTATATAGCTGATATTGCACCGATCATAGGCAACTATTCAGTGCAATGCAAATAGCAGTTGTGTGACAGCTAGTCCGATACCTCAATCAGTTTGCATTGAAGGCTGTTTCACGAAAACTGATGATAATACAAATACCTCGTTCTGAGGGTGTATGTTTCATTTGTTATGTCTCCACCCTTAAGCAGTAGACGGTGTTTTGTGCCTTTTGTAGTTACCGTTATCTCTAATGTACTGAAGCCAACGATACCCAATATCACCAGACATTAAAAAGCACTTAACCATTACGTCTTTTTAGGTTCCATATCTTCAATGACAATATAGACCCAAGATCTAGTTCAGATTATTCAAACATGACATGATCAAACTTGTAACAATAATAATTGCTAGTTTTGTCAACAATTTCTGGTGAGATAGTAGGTCCTTAAGGGACGTCTTGCTTCTGCTACATGAGGGCTGATTGATTTATTGTCGATGTGGCTTTGGATTAATGATTCTGCTAACTGGGATTCTTTAGACAAGGCACACGTACTTGCAGAGAAAAGACAACTGCTAAGTTGTCATTCGATATCAACTAGTTGTTTAATTAATCTGAAACAAAAGTAGATAAAAATACATTGAGAATATTTTTGAGCATCAGACCGTCAGGCACTGGCTTTCGATTAATACTTGAACGAAAGTTGGGCAGTTTGCGACTTGTTAAGAGCTTGCGCTGCGTTGGCTGGATTTCCTAAGCATTGGAAACAGTGTTCTCGCCTACCAGAGACTCTCCTCAGCAGAATTTTGGAGAAGGTTAGCATAAACCTCCAACCCTCTGTGGGCAAGCAGCTCGGCGTGTAGAAACCAACGACTAGGGTGTGGGCAGGTATTGGCAAGAGAACCCCCAACCAAAAAAGACAAACAACCAAAAACACAATTCTCCAGCGGACTAGTCTCTCAGATTGTTGTTTGTTTTGGTGTGTGGTTTGCTTTTGCTTTTGTTTGTTGCTGTTGGTTTCCTTGTTTGTTTTGTGGTCTTGTTTTTGTTTTTGTTTAGCGCGAGAGCTTGTCTTTAGCCTTCTCTACCGCTTAAAGCTCTTATCCGGTGCTGGGAAGAATATATTTTTTAAACTAAGCGCGATTGTTAAACAACTTTGCTAAAGCAATGGCCTGTTTTTTTAAAAAAAGGGATTTGCAACAGAGACTCGGGGAGCCTACTGCTTTCCCTCTCTCTATGTATAATGTATAAGTATATATAAACTTACTTATGTTGTTGCTTGCTTGTTGGTACTCCTGATATAACATGTTGATTTCATGTTGTGCCGGTTTACTTTGCTATGCTGCATTGCACTATTCTGTGTTGTGCTATGTGTCATGCATTTTATAAACCTGTATTTATCATATGGCATCAGTTGTTTAATTTGATGTCCCACAATCTTTCGGTTTGCTCTACTCAATATTTTCTAACAAGCGTTCTATGCTATATCCTGTACATTAGGTGCTTCTGGTTTTTCTGATTGTATATTTCATGTTACATGTTATACCTAGTCTTAAAACAATGTTTTGGGGTTGCACATCCTCATCCGATATTACATACTGGGGCGATATGATGCCTCTTCCCAGAATATGTAATGCATTCTATCTTACTGTACCATACTCTGCCACAACATAACATATGCACACGTATATACATATATATATATATATACATGTATGTATATTGCTCGGTTGTCACGGTTTTCGTTTGTTATCGTGCACATGTACTGTTCGTGTCTTTGTGTTGTCTTGTACATGGTACAGATTGTTGGTTATGGTAGTCCAGATTCTGCGCAATATGTTAAATATGTATTATGTGCTATGTACGTTGTGCAATACATACGTGTTCATGCAACATACTACATCTTTCACATGATTCAACTGCCTAATGTAAACTCCATCAATACATCGCAATTGCGTTTTCTTCACGACATCACACATTGGATGACCTATGCATCGCGCATGCTGGGTCTGCTGCTCTGCCCGAAAGGCGCGTCAATAAAGGCGCAGTATCGAGTGTTTACAGCACAACTACTCTGCCTGTGGGTATTGATCAAAAACAAACACTGACTCGATATGTACAAACAGGTGTCTATGCACATGTATGTATGGGTGCATATGTATATGTATATGTATATGTATATGTCTATGTATGTGTGTGTATATATACACACATACACATGTACACACAAACATGCACGTACATACATGTATCTGTGTAAATAACTATATATGGTATAATATGTATGTATACACACACGACACAACAGTATACACTAAGTTCAGGCCCGAGCAAAGCTGTGGATGTCCTCTGCGAGCTTCTTGGCTTCGTCGGGCTTCTTCGGAAAGGGCCGATGGCCTGGATGCTGCAGAGCTTCCAGGTCTTGGGATTCTAGTGTTTCGCAGGCAATGGCGGAATTGAGTCAAGCAAGACAAGTGCATTTCTTACTTGGGCATCTTGGGTCCAAGCCATCGCTGTGGCTAAGTCGAACCTCAAGAGCATGCCCAACAGAGATTCTGCCTATGAGGGACAGCTACAGAGATGCCACAAAGTTGCTCCACGACCGAACACTCACGCAAAGACAACATCTAACAAGAACACTCAACCCAGCAATTATGAACACTTGCGGGGCCAAGCGGCGGGGTGCTCGTAAGTCGAAGCTACCTCATGCTCTTCACAAAAGCCGATCAAGACTTGTTGCCTGCTCCCTTCTACTCCACCTGCCCCGGAATTTCAGGGTTTTTGAGCATTGCAGTGTTGCACGGGTGTTCGGGCAAGCCCATGTGCCTCATCGCTGCCTTTGGCAGTCTCATCCACTTTACCCTCGATGATGAGTGCCGGCAAGGGTAGCCTGCAGCTCGGTGAAGTCGTGCCACACGACAGCATGGATGGAACAACCGATCGTTGTTTGCTGAGCTACTGGACAGCTCTGGCAGCCAAGCATCTGGTACTCGAAAAGGTCGGGAGTCTGTCCAACCCAGCCGGGCTTGGTCGTGCAGAAGTGTACTACGCAGTGTAGCGGATGACCCTGACCTGCCAACAGCTTTCCGGATCCTGAGGTTTAGGATTTAAAGTCTCGGACCTAGCTTAATTAAGAATGCCGTCGATGGTGGTTTGAGGGTCTGGCATACTGGTGATGATAAGCATACCACCTTTAGCCCAGAAAGCACGACGACTTGACTCGTAGTGGCCTTCCAGGATTTGTCTCGTGGCCCGCGCTGAGATGAGAAGAGCTCGATCCTAGATTCGGGCGCCCTTGGAGGTACCTGTCTTCATGGGAATTGCCGCTACGACGGCACCCCTTTGCGATAGCCATGGTTGGAGAGGTCCCCACATGACTACGGCAACGTCACAAGGCAACAAACCACCAACTACTCCTTCGAGGGCAACTAACTTGGTTCAGAAGCCCGCACATCCACATGCATGCAAAAACGGTCCACAACATCTTCAGCCAAGTCTCTCATAATGCCGAATTCTGGACCCAGAACCCAAAAAACTCTCAAAAAGAGTAAGTGCCAAGGTACCCAGGTACTTTTTGTACACCCTGATATAGAAGTTGAGTGGATCCTAAATTTCAACATCTGTCAAAGGTCTCTCCTCTGAACCACCCCGCCGCCTAGGGCTGCTTGCGCGGCCAAGGGGTGCGAGAGGTTGCTCCCCTGGCTGAAGCCGAGGAGCCTCGGGCAAAACCCTCAAAGTTGGGCACAAACAGGTAGCCAGGGCCTGGGGTTAGGGTTTAGGGGTTTGGGGTTTAGGGGTTTAGGAGTATGGGGTTTGGGGGTTCAGGGTTTAGCGGCTCAGGGGTGCGTTTAGGGTTCAGGGTTTAGGGGTTTAGTCAGGCTCAGGGGTTTAGGGCTTTATGCATCCATGTACCTACCTGTCTACTCAATTACCTATCTACCTGTCTGCATGTACATCTATAGGGTATAGGGTGACGTGTGTTGAAATACATACAGTGATGCTTTCGTACATTTCATTCCGTTCCGTTCCATGCAATACATGCTACAAAGCATTACATTGCGCTGCATAGCAATGCACTGCTTGCATTGCAGTATATGCATCATCATACATCATGCATGTATGTGTATAACTGTGTATACATACATGCGTATAGACGGTCACACAGATACGTAGACAAACAGATAGACTGACAAATAAACAGGCCGGTCGATCCATAGATCGACAGATAACACCCACGGGTCTGACATGGTCACAGACAGCAAGCGCTGCGTGTACACGAGTTCTACTCAAGTCATTCACGAAGTGGTCAAGCTGCCGGGTGCCTCCCGTCGGAAATGTGGCAAGACGGATGAACCCGCAAGCGCTGTCGTGTGACGGATTTTCACCGGTGAGCCGACAGTTCCCTCACATGTCCCTGTTGCAGCTTGACCTGGGAAAATTGCGGCCCGGCAACCCGTCAATGGGAGCATGCTTGGTCATCGCCTCCTGAGCAAACTCGATGGCTCTTTCCCAGCCGCCATACCTCGGCCAGCGGGGTTTGCGCAGATCCTCTTGCAGAACCATAAGGCCTACAAGGCCTTTGTCAGACAGAACCAGGTAAATAAATAAATACAAACATAAATAAATAAATAAATAAATATATATATATATATATAGTCAGCGAATCCTCCCGGGCCTCGGAGCCACGGGCCGAAATCCCAAAAGTACCGAGCGGCCGTCGCCAGCCCGTCTCCTCACCCAAGGGCTCCGCCCACTGCTTGAACCTGAATCTTGGGTCGCCAAAATCTGTGCGATCGAGGAAGTCACAGCTCTCCCGGGCACTGTGGAAATTATCTGACACTTTGTCCATGAAGCATTCCTCTCATCTTGCAGAACAGTACCCTACTGTGCAAGGTTGTACTGTACATGGCACCATCTGAGACGAAACACAGAGTCTGCACAACAGTCCGCAAGGGGGTGGCTAAGCTAGGATGGAGTGGTCCAGTATCGACCCCTTCCATCCACTGCAGATATCTGCCGAGTCACTTCTCCTCTGGGAAGTACTGCCTTGAACGGAGTGGGCTACAAGCGGCATGGCATATGCAGATATATTAGGCAATGTCGAACCCGTTGCGGAAGTCTCAACACAACAAAGATTATCTTTGAACAGCTGCGGCGTTTGACACATAGTTGCCACTCCCCAGTCGTCAAGACGGGGCGTCGAAAGCATCTTCTCACGAGTTTTATCTGATATATATATATATATATACACACACGCATAAATAAATAAATATGTATATATATATATATACATACATATACATATACATAGAGATACACACATACACATTGATATTAATCCACAAAATCCCGTTGCAAGTCCTGACACTCGGGTCATTCCCAGCTCTACCGCAAACGTTAAACTCAGAACCAGCTGCTTCATGAGCTCCACCTGCTTGGCCACGATGGGATTGCGTAGGTCGCAGTCGACGCAGCCATCCTGGAAAACAAACTCGATGTCATCCTGCAGCAGATGCTCTGGGGACCAGGGCTGGGTTCACTACGTATCTTGAGGAGTAAATCCCGGGATGGCGCAAGGAAACCGCGAAGCCTTTCAGGACCTACATCCATCAGCTGATTCACATACCAATTCCTTCTTTGAGGGCGAGAGGTTTTGCCACCATCTTCTGTGGCCACATGAGGTTAGCAGACATCTCACTTGGCGGCGGCAATAGCATCGACGGGACAAGCAGAATATGATATACTACACTACTCAATACTATGAATTACTATCATATAATGTCCTATAATAAACAATACAATAAAAAATAGTAATATATCATAGTAAAGAACGAGCGAACACTTTCTTTAGCCGGGCTTCTGCTGCTCGCTTGATCAATGGCGCAAGTTGTGCCCTGCACAGGGCAGCTTCGAGAAAAGGAGAGCAGCCTACCTTATAGCCCAGAAAGTTGTGACCGTAATGGTGCTTTCTGCGGGATATTTAGCTTGCGGGGGCAATCTCATGTGTCCGGTGGGTTGCTTCGTGATCGGGCAGCTTCCGCTTTGCGCGACTAGAGCAAAACAAGTGAAGGAAGAGAATAACATCTCAACTCCTAGGTCCTAGAGCTTCCTGAACCAGAACCCTATGGCCCTATGAGCTGAGCATTGCCGGACCTCAGCACTTTCTCTGTTGCGGCGGTGCCATGGAGGCATAGGATTCCTCAGCCGGTTCTACAGGAGGAAGGCAGGTCATGACATGCGATGAAAAGCAAATCGCGCGTACAGTGATCATAACAGATTACAGCAGGAAAACAGAGTTTCCAGTGCTTGCCAAAATGTTTCCTTTTGCTCTTCAAATCCTGTCGTGGAGCCAATGCGCAACCCTCAACCCTGACAGTCCCACGAGGTGCAGCCACGGAGCGCACCTTCCTGCCCTCCACAGGCTTCGGAGGATCAGCGAAGGCTTTGACAGCGCGGCCCTCCTCCACGGCCTTCCAAGACGTAGCAAAGCTTGGCAAAGCCGAAGCCCCCAAACTCTACCTGAAACTCAGCCCCAAACCCTATAAACCCTAAACCCCTAAACCCCAAACCCTGCACCCCCTAAACCCTAAACATGATAAGAACAAGATACAACCCCTACAAAGCCAGGTTTGCCCGGGCCTTGGGGTCGAGCAGCGGTGCTGGCCTCAACACGGCAGTCACATTTTCACAAAACAGAACTTAAAAGTTACAGTACATCATACTAGAGTGTACTATGTATACTTTATCATGCTATATTACACGATATTTTATTACATTATGCTATGTAAGCTAGATTATACTACATAATGTGCGGCAATATGTTAAGATTCGCAGCGCCGGAGCCGAGACACCTCAACCAATGCAAACGGCAGATGGCGCCCAAGGCGGTCTAGAGTTCAGGGTATCAAAAGCCACACAATCATGGCAGCACCAACAAGAACAAAAACACCTAATCGTCTCCCACACTTGACATCCGGGCTTGGGGCCGTGTTGTAGACTCTGTCCACATTTTGGGTGATAGATCACAGAGGCCGCACACTTTACTGTTGCCCAGCTGCTCCATCAACGCCTTGTCTTTCACCTTGAGGCTCACCTGCCCGTGCATCATCACATCGTGAGATCAAGAGACAAATGCACAAAACAACACTCTCGTCATGACTACAGAGCCATGATCATGGCGATGATATGCAGGGCCTGTTGCCTTGCCCCGAACCGACAAAGAACTCCCGAACTCCCCAGCACCTGAATTCCCAATTCCCAATCCAGAAATCTTCCAGAGGCAACCTGCCCCTTGAGGCCACCCTTGGGCCCGGGCCCAGCCGGTTTCTGGTCCAGTGCCCGTCAACCTCTCGAACTGCAGCCGCTCACCCACGAGCTTCACCTACCGTCGCCAAGATTCGAGCAGCTTTGAGACCATTGCGACCCTGGTGTACCCCACTGCAGATGAAGAAACCAATGATGATCATGAACCATGACGACGATGATGTGTTTTGGGGAGGGGCCCGGGATTCGCTTGGAAACGCAACGACAACTAGGACGACTCCCAGCCTGTCGGAGATAGAAGCAAATTTCAAAAGACTCCCTACGCTCGGCCTCGCCAAAGTCTGCCATATGTAAAACCAACCCCAGCATCATCGTTCAATGAAACAGGGCACGTAGACAAAGGCACTCATCAATAGTCTGCCGCTAATGGAGTCTATGCGATTGATACTGCAAAAGCTCTCGTCCTTTTGGACAAGGGCAATGGCATGACTGCAGGACCATGCAGCGCACATACTTTCGGGGTCTCTCGTGCCTCACAGCACTGATGATTGCGTAAGTTGCGTCATGATCTGTCTTGCTGGGGCCGGCCCAGAAAATGCCCCGCTTCCACAATGGCGGAGCCTGCTTCACCAATGCTCCATGGGACAATCGCTTCTCGGCCTCCCGCTGCCACCAGGGATACCAGGGCAGCTCTCAAAATATTGGTGAGGGTCTTTGATCACTCTGATATCGAGGAGCCTCAAACAAGACCCGAATTCAAAGTTTTAGGCTGGATCAGGCCACAGTGTACTTGCGCTCCCTACGGACCTCGGAGGAAGTCAGCTCCTGCCCGGTTCGGACCAGAATGCCACCTTTGTCAGCACCTGCAGCTGCCACTGGGAGCAAACATACACGATACGTGGTATCTGCAAGAATTGCCCTTGGAGGTCGCCTTTCCTAGAAAGGCTCAGCAAACAAACTACGTGAAGTCACCACGAACGACGGGCGCACAGTACTCTTCTTGCTCTTGGCATGGCACCGCCCACGACGCACCAGCGCTTCTCTGGCTCTTCCGACATTGCACAGCCCGCGCCGCAAAGAAAGCTGAACATCAAGGACTCAAAAGTTCGAGCAAGTTGGTCCCAATGAAACCGTGGCGTGCGGTGTGGGGTAATTATCTGGACCGAGTCAATCTGAATGTTGTACCCCATCTCTGCTGTTCCAGAACGCAAGGGGTAAGAGTCGCATGCTTCTAACTTGTCTGCGCACATGTCGGCTTGGTTTGAAGGGACTGGCTCATGAGTTGGATGTACCTGCCCCATCTATGTCGGAATCTTGAGCAGAGGAAATGAATGAAGTACAAGCAAGTACGCTGCAGCATATACTTCTGCAATAATTTCGACAGAATCGTCGACGTGCGTCAACAAACCATACCCTCACAGGCCCGAGGTCATACACTGACACATCAAGGTAAGGTGTGGGTGGGGAAAAGGGGAACAGGTGCCTACCGATCGTGGGGGGGCTGATGGATCGTCCCAGTTTTGTGTGAACTCTGCCCAGAATAACATCGGCAGCAGCAAGTCTGTGTTGTGATCCTGGCCTCCTTCGTCCATTTCCGGTGGAAGGAGTCTCAGTGGGAAGGCTGCGGAATTCATTTAATGCTCGGATGCTTGCGGATAGGTCCGTTGAGTTTTGGATTTTGGCAGTGATACGCGCAACCATCAGCCGAACGAGACACACGAGGCCCGTTTCAGTGCCACGCTGGCTTCGATGCAGGAACACGTCTTCGCTCACACCTCCGAAACACAAGATCTTCGACTGGTGCTCGTGCTACGACTAGCAAAGTAGCATGTATTAGCTGGTTACAATGGTCCGTGCTTTGCATCAGCTGACTGCCAGCAACCGCCACGATATTTTTTTCGCAGAACAACTGGTGCAGATTCGTTGAAGAACCCATCCCGTCCGAGCCTGGTGGTGCATCTGGGCTCTTCGGCCAGGGCGCAACGAAACCAAAGCCCTTGCTGCGAGAGAACCACCGAATGCCTGCAGCAGAAGCAAACCAGGACGAGTGGTGTAGAAGCCACACGCGCTTAGCTTCTTTGACCTGCGCTCTTGTGACGATTGCCTGCTCAGGTTGAACGGAGACTCCAGTCTAAATGCCGGTCTTTTGTCGGTGTTTTTCCTCTCACTGTATGTTCCACTACGCCCCAAAACCCCACCTTGAAGCACGAAACCCCAAGCCTCAAACGCCGAACCTTTGAAACCCTATTTCAACCCCATACCGCCTTAGACCCCGAACCCACATAGAACTCCTAAAGGAACCCGTTGGAAAACTCCATTAACCTGCTATAAGAACCCTATAAAGAACCCCTGAAGAGCCCTAAACAAGAAACCAAGAAAACCCGAAACTGAAGCTTGGCCCTCGGCGTCCGCGCAGCCGGGCAGGTGCCCCGAGGTCGGCCGTGTCGCCTAACGAGTTGATTCAAATCTACAACAACAACAACATCAACAACAACTACTACTACTACTACTACGACGACGACGACTTTTTTTGCTACTATTCTCTTGTAGGTGCTATCGGCTGAGTTTGGGGTTTAGGGTTTAGGGACCGGGGCCTAGGGTTTGGGATCAGAGCCGAAGGGAAGGTGCAAGGAAGCCCCATGGGGTTCCTTCAAGGAGGGTTTTAATTATGGGGACAAAAGAGGGGTTACGGTTTCAGGGCTTGTATGGGCTATGTATGTGGGGCTTCGGGCTTCAGGCTTACAGGGGGTTAGGGCTCGAGGGTTTAGGTTGTGGGCTTGCTTCAAAACACGTGCTGCATTTCCTTCTTCGGTCCGTATGGTTCAAAGTCCCCTAAACCCTAAACCCCCAAACCTCAAGGTGTTTAAGTTGAAGGATAGGGGTGTTCACGTTCATAGTTGAAGGTCTCAAGCTTCCACAGATATCAGCAAGATCGGCCTTAGAACTTTATGTTGCGAGGTTTCGGGCTTAGGGTTTGCTGTCCAGATCCCGCAGAAATAGAGACTGAGAGTAATCAAGACGATTCGGGGTGCCAAGAAGTCAAAAAGAAAAGCAGCGAGACAGCTGAAAGTGCAAGGCCTCCCACGGGCAGAAACTGGCCGGGTGCCTTGGCCGGGATCTACGACGGCCTAGTCTGACACAATATGAAAATAGTATAACATAACAGGATATAGCATAATATCATGTTGAATTTTTGTATGCTACTTGCTGATAGGAAGAGTGATGCCAGAGACTTGACGC